ACGACTGCTGACTAGGAGACATCTTCTCTTTCCCCAGCTGCATGTGGAAGAAAGACACTTTTGACAGTTGTAGTCTTTTGCCGTGTGGAGGAAAGCGTGCGTTCGCCACGTTCTCTGAATCCGACTGCCTGGCCTGGACTTTTCACACCCAGAGAAATCCAGCATCCAATACATATCCCCGCACTTCAGAGCAGATTTGCTGCTCACCATCATGCACACAGATGTGTTTCCTCCTCCCTCCCAATCCACTTTCCTTTTATGCTGCATCTGATATAGACTGCAAGTTTGAGGGCAGGGATTGTTTTATTTCTGATCTTTGTGAGCCGCTGCAGGACTCTTTTTTGGCTAAAGGGCAAAATCAAACTATTTGAATCTACCAAACAGTCAATATGTTACATTATTTAAAGACTTCCATCCAGCACTACAAATTCAAGACACATGTTTGAAGACTCACTGTAAGCAGAATAAAGGAGCATGGGAGTTCCTGCTTGCATGCAGAGGGTCCCTGTTTCAGATGCCTGGCATCTTCAACTCAAAGCCACTTAAGAAACAGAAGCCAGCTTGAGTCCATTGGAAAAAGACTGACAGCTGGTACACACCATACTAATTTAGATGACCAACCAGAGGCAACTCTCTGGAGTCAAATTTTTGGGCAAGAAATTAAAGTCATATAGTTTTGCCAAGCTTTTCCTTTGTCTGCAAGTTTGAGGGGCATCAGCTGCCATTTCAAGCTTCTTCTGAAATCTGAAGAGCATCCTTATTTTTGGGATAATTTAGACCAATACCTGATGTGGCACTCTATTCCGTTTATTGTCCACCTGGAGCATTCAGGAGAATGGAAGACCAGACCTTGCAGCCAGAGAGCAAAGCTTATTTTGGGAGCACTCCCATGGGTGGTGGGAGAGGGGCATTCCAGTGCTGGGAAGAGGGAAAGGCACAAGAAGCAGGTAGAAAATAAACCTTAAAGCTCTTGCTGCTCATCACTGAGCCCCAGGAGGGGCGTTTTGACCTTCTGGAATGGGAGAAAAACTAAAGATGGCTAAGTACCAAATGACTGCTCTTGAAGGGCTAAGACCAAATGAAGGAGGGGTGACCTTCAGGGGATCCTAAGAGGCCAGACTGGGAACCCTTGAGAGCTGTAGGTGGCCTTTTGGGGAGAGGATCTATGTTTTAAAAATATTTAAAATCCATTTTAAGTGAACAAGAGAGGGTTGTGAGTCATCAGCTGTATTGGGGGAGGGACTCTAGAAAAGGGGCGGTAACATCCAGGCCTTCTTTGCCAGAGCTGCTGTGCCCATGCTCCACCAGGTTAAGTGTGAGAGATGCCAATCTGTGAGATCGTGTGACGTAGCCTGGCTGGATGTCAATGCAAAGTACAAGGAAATCGAATTCTTTCTCCATCGCCTGAGAGTAATTTCTTACATGGTTGTGCAGATTCCTACAGATACTCAGCTACTGCCTGCTTCCAAATCTTTTGCTGTATCGGGTTATTAGCCTCCATTGTACATGAGCTGGCAGGCAGAGAGAAAGAGCACATGCAAGAAGGAATTTGTGCCATAGTTATGCGACTTAAGGTGCAACTGATGTATGTTTAGACAGAAAAGGGTGGCAGCTGTAGGACTTTCTGTCTGCATGTGCATCAGATTGGGCCCGAAGCGTTTTCAACTGAAAAGGAGGAGAACGCATTGTGCTTCATTTGCTTTCAACCTGAAAGGCAGAAGTAGATGCTCACACTTCCGATATTCTAAGCTCCCACTCTTCTGCCCGGCCTCCTTACCCAGCACCCAGAGGGATGATGAGTTATTGCCATAGCAACAGTATCTTTCACCTTCCCATCTTCCATCTCACTGGAAACGCTGCAGTGCCTTGTGCTGAGACTGCAAAGGAGTGCAAACAGACTGCCGCTACCCATAATATACAAGGGTGCATACAGGACTGACACAGAAGCTTCAGTAGTCAGCAAGTCACCTTGTCTCTCTCTCTCTCTCTCCCCCCCCCCCCCCCACACACACACAAACCCAACGCAAGCCAGTCATGCCTGGTGCAGGCAAAGGGGGGGCGGCAGCCGAGTTGATTATCTGCCAGCATCCATGCCGGCAAAGAATGAAGACAGAGAACATAAGCTTCTTAATCTTCCACAGATTGGAGGGCTGTAGCTTTCACAGAAGAGGAAAAAGGGGAGAGGAAAGCTATACCCGAGAATTCCCTTGAAAGCAAGGTCTGCCGACCCCAGCGCAATTTCCAACAGCAGACAGCCAGATCTTTCTTTGGCAAGTTCACGGGCCCAAGCTTGGTTTTCGCTTCTGCCTTTCCCTGACATCTGATAGCAGAGATAAACACAGAGGCTTTGAAACAGAATGTGTTTTGAAAACTGTGGGACGTGTTTCTGCCTGGGCTGGGTTCACAAGATAGCACTAAAGCATCCCTACAAATAACAACCAAGTAACACAACGAACAGCAGGCCATCCTTACACAAAATTAAAAGTGAAAGTCAGCAGCCAGCAAACTGATGCGAGATGATGATAATGAGGAGGAGGAGGAGGAGGAGGAGAGAGGGGATCATATCTAAACCAATAAAGACGAGAAACTAATTGGCCCCCCAAATCCTGCGTAAACAGTGAGGTTTTGACTGAAGCCTGAGCAAGGTTGACCAAGGCATCCTAGGCAGTCTGGGGGATCCACAGTTGGAGGACAAACCCAGATGAGGCTCTTCTGAGCCAAGACATTCCCAATTAGTCATCATGGTAAACTGGATCTGGCAAATCTGTCCACCATGACTCTCTTTAGACCCGGATGGCCTCAAGTTAGAGGAAGTGATCTGGTTCACACATAACAATCTAGAGCAGGGGTCTCAAACTCAACTTACCTGGGGGCCGCTGGAAGTAGAGGCTGGGTGAGGCTGGGCCGCGTCAGGTATTCCACCACTGCGGCGGTGGTGGTGGGCTGCTCATCCCGCAGCCAGCCCGGGTGCCACTGGCGCTTTGAAGGCCACAGGGCCCCTCCCCGTGCCCCTCCCATCCCGGCAATTGGCCCGCAGGCCGCGAGTTTGAGACCCCTGATCTAGAGAATGGATCCTCAGTGAATCATGGGTTGTTATGGGTAAACCCTGCACTGTGGCTTAACTATGAGTTGATCATGAACCATCTGGGAAGAAAATTCACGGTTCATTGTTGAGCTGTGAACTCCAGATAGTTAGCCACAAACAACCCATAGTTAAACCACAGTGCAGGGTTCACATGTAATGACAACCCAAACTCTGGGTTGTCATTAGATGCAAACCCAGACAGCATCACCTAAACATGTCACAGGCTAGACACTATAAGCCACTGGTAACAGATAGAGCCATGCCTATTTAAAAAGGTCCAACACAGCTGCAAAAAGAAGAAGGGGACGGCAGAGGATGAGGTGGCTGGAAGGGGCCACTGAAGCAGTTGGTGTGAGCTTGAGTGGACTCCAGGGGACGGTGGAGGACAGGAAGGCCTGGGGGAATGTTGTCCATGGGGTCACGATGGGTCGGACACAACTTCGCGACTAACAACAACAACACAGCTGCACCAACATAAAACCCAGCATATGGCACACTAGCACAAGGCTTTTGCTACCAAAATCAATTACAAAACATGGTCTAATATTCAGCTGCCAGAGATTAGATCTATTGATGCAATCCAGTAAATGCATCTGAAGGACACATCTTGGCCCAGGCTAATTCTTTTAACTCTAGAAAGACACTCACATATATGGTAATGCCCATTAAGCAGTCTCTTGGCAGATGCTTGACAATTTGCATTGAATGAATTAAGCTTTTAACATAAGCACCCACCGGGCCACCCTAGCATGTAATGGCATTTTAATGGCAGTCTTGGCTCTTCGCATCGAGCGGTTTCTATCAGATATCACAAGACCAGCCTCAACAGATGGCTCCGTTATCAAACATGCTTATAAGAAATGGAAGCAAACTCTCCAATGACCACTCAAGAAAGCATTCTTTGCCTATCCCAGCACAAAGCTGCTGAGCTAGTTTGATGTGATGGACAGCGCATTGGACTGGAACCTGGGTTCAAGTCCCCGATATGAAGCTCAGTGCACGCCCTTGGCAAGTTACTCTCTTTGGGGTATCTCAGAGGAAGGTGTGTGTTTTCAAGATGCGGCAGATAACTAAGCAAAAAGCTTCCAAAGGCCGAGTTCAACGGAGTCACATGGACCGTGTTTCACTTTTGAAAAGAGGATCCAACTTTCAAAAAGGAAGGGGCAGCCTGAACACAGGGTCAGTTCTGACTGCAGACAAGCCAATGGTGCCACCTAGTGGCTTTCACGCGTCAACACCCTTATGAGCAAATTTTGCTGTTTCCCAATTTTCAAACGATTGATGCTGTGCTTGTCACATGCAAACTCGCTGAAAAGGTGCTCCTGAGTTGGCCTCCTACTATGCCAGTGACTACAGTGGGAGGTAACAGGCTTCCCTCCAGCAGACACCGATGCGCCACGGCTCGGTGTTCTGCGCCACGGCAGTCAATGCTACCGCAGAACCGAAAAAGGCAACTGTTCGTAGCTGTAAGTCTCAGCCCGTGTGGCTAAGGAAGATGGATTATGTAGGACCCTGTCCGCAACCACCAAGAAGTGTGCTGGAAGGATTTTAAGCATTTATTTACAAAATTTAATTTACATTTTAGTCACATTCAAGCTGCTCTAATCAACCCTATTATTTACTGAACTTCTCTTCTGCTATACTGGCCCAAGGGTTCGAGTGCTTTGCTTTGCCGGACCGACATTCCAGCCAATCCCATCTACCAAAAAGCTCAGTGAAGGGCACACGGTTCTTGCCCAGCACCCATAGCTCAAATCAGGCCTTTGTGAAAAGGCCCCTCCCGACGCCTCCGGGCTGCCCTGCCCACCGGCGAGCCAAACAGCAGCGGCCACAGCCGTGTCCCTGCGATGCTGCCAAGCACTCCTGCATTGTTATGTCACCAGGTCATTGCTAGGTAAAAAAAATCGCCTCCTACCTTCCTGCAACGTGGGTTTGGACAGCTGAACCGCTTCACGTCCTTGTCCAGCAGAGCTGGGAAGTTGCAAAAGGGACACCTGTGGGCACAGAAAAAGAGAGGGGATGAGGACTCCATACCTGCCCTGCCAGTTACATAGATAACCTTAAGAGGGGATTAGTCAATGACGTGGAGGACAGCTCTGTCGATGGCCATTAGACCTGATGGCTACGTGGTGTGCCCATGGGCTGAGGCACATGCCACCAAATGCCACCAGCTGTGGAGATGTGGCAAGGCCACCGCTTTCAAGTCTTGCTGCAGAGCTTCTCCCAAGCACCTGCTTGGCGTCTGCAGGATGCAGAATGCTGTGGAGATGGGCCTTTAGTCTGACGCAGCAGAGTTCTTCTTTGGTCCAGGTTAAAAAATAACAAATGAGATTTGAAGCGTACACATTTTCCAGCTCTCCATCACCCCAGTTTAGTTAGCTCATTTGGGGGAGTGTTAAGTAAGGATGGACGACTTCTACGTAACAAAAATGGGTGAGGGAACCATATATGCCTCTTTAATCACTTAGGGGAAAGGAAGGATATAAATGTATAATATATAAATGCGTGTGCTGCATTTGTATCCCACCGTTTCCCTGGGCAGCTATAGGAAGCACGTGCTCATGCTCACAACCACCCTGTGAGGGAGGTCCAGCCAGGGGTGATGATGACCCACACAAGCACCCAGCAAGCTTTCTGGCCAAGTGAAGATTTAACCCTCCACTGCGCTGCCACAACTCCCACTCCAGCATACTGACCACTACACCACGCTGGCCCTCTTTGCTCAGAGCTCTGTGGCAGCGAAGGCAGAAGAAGGGCGCTCTGGTGTGACTTCCAGAAAGCAAGAGGTCATTTTCCCAAATAAAAGTATTATGCTCTACTCCACTTTTGAACTAGTGATGGCACCTCTGACACCTTCTCAAATATCTAAGCATTGAGCAGGAAATACCCATGTACAGGGAGAGCTAGAAGCACATACAAGGTGAAAGATGGGGGATGATGGGACTTGACACAGAAGCTATAGAGAGGGAAACTGAGGCCTAGATCCCACAAGAGAAATATGCGTGGTTGAAAAGCCAATGATGACTTGAGCTTGACCACCAGATGCTGCAGACTGAACACAGCAGAGCCTCTGAGTAAATCAGATTCCACTGAAAATTTCCTGAGAAATTTCTCAGCAGAGACCAGGCCCAAGGGCAGCTGCAAAACTAAGGCAGGGGAAAGGTTGGGGACATAGCCAAGACGAGAGAAAATAAATAGGCCTGAGTGAACAAGCATTACACAAGTCAGACTTCAATGAAATAAACAGGCAGATGTTCCCAGAACAAAAGAAAGCACAAGGAATACCCAGCTGGTGTGTTACCCTACAGAAGTACCTCGAAATGAGGGTGTTTCAGGATTGGAAGGTGTCCGACGGGCCAGTGTGTAAGCTGCCTTGTGTGCTGCTCGATGGGTGGCAACTATTCAGCGCTCCAACTGTTTTTCTGCTCAGAGAAGGGCAACTCCTCCTGAATCAGTTACAGCAAAGGACGTGTAACTGCACTCAGAAGTACAATAAGGGTCCAGACCTCTCATGCAGCCTTTCCAGAACAAGGTACTTGGGCAATGCCTACAAGATACGTGCGCAAACATGTTTCTCAGTTCCAGGGGGGCAGGAAAGGGGATATTAAAAATAATACATTTAAAAATGCTACATAGGGGGAATGTGTGCCTGTTGGCTCTGCTGGACACTCAGGCTTTTGGTACCACTGACTATTTGAAGGACCCTGTTTTCCTGGCTCTGGAAGGTGGTTCTTAGGGGCAGTTTCTAAACTATGTGGCCTTTGCTTTATTGGAACATCTAATAAATCAGCACAGCTATTTAGTAGAACTGTTATTAAATCTGGCCTTCCTTCACCTTCTGTTCTGACAGTCTATCTTTATTTGCTGCATTGACTTCATGTTTTCCTACCAAAGCGCTCAGGAGGTTTATTTAACAATGTTAAAAGGCGAAAAGACACAACACAAAAGGAATGCAAAGAGGATGGGGAGGGAAGAGGAAACCTAAGTCAGGAGAGGGCCAGGTTTTCTGAAATGGGCAAGGATAATAAAACAAGGTGCCGAGAACTATAGCTGCAATCAATAATGCCAGCAGCTGCCTTGTGTATACACACCCACACCCCTTTGTCTGTGATTGAGCAGGACTTCCAGTGGCTCTACGGAGTTGGACGCCCCAGCGAGCCAGAAGAAGATGCAGCCTCCCAGCCTGGGTGGGCATACGGTGATCGGCAAGCTCTTGCTGCCACCAACAGTGTGAGGAGACCCAAAGGGGCTACAAACAGAATTCCCTGCACAGTTCAGACCAAACTTCTCCTCTTACCTGACTAATTCATCTGCACAGGCAGCGGCCACTTCTTCCTCTGCTTTCCGCTCATAGTATTTACAAAGGATGTTTTCCGGAAGCACTTTCTCCAACTCGCTTGTTGGAAATGAGCAGGTACAGCTCCCTTCCATGCAGCTGAGCTCTGACTACACAGAGGGCGAGGCGGGGGAGAAAAGTGGGGCGTTATGGAGTTTTTAATCATTCATATCCAGGAGCTGGTTTGCCCCAACAACCCACAGAAAGACAGTCATAATGGACTTCTATCTTTTAGGCAGTAGGAAGTTGAGAAAGACTTCCCTCCTCAAGGCTATTCTTAGTAAGTACCAGGGGACAATACCGGTAAGAATTCCTGCTTATGGGTTTTATATACGCACCCCTTGAACACTGGGTCTCTACACTGCTGAATCGAAACAGTGCTACCCATGACTGCCCCCTGCAAACAGAGGCATCCTCCAAGGAAAGCAGCTTTGATAGAATGAAGCCTCCCGAAGAAGGCTTGGCAGAGCTGTTTAAGACAGACTTCCATTAGAATACATCCACCGTCAGTCCGAGTGACCAGCGGGGATTGACTAGCTTTGAAGATTCAGACAGCAAAAAAGTAACAAGACGCAAGAGCTCATTAGAAAGTAATCTAGAAAAGACCGTTCTGCAAAGTCATGTAAAAACATGGAATGTTATGTTCCACAACTAATGCATATTCTTAAATGTAGAACAAAACAGTGCATTTAATTTTTTTTAATTTTTTGAGTAAGTTAAAATAATTTTTAAAATAATGTAAAATTAGAAATCATTTAAAATGCTGCACAGACATTACATTTAAAAATGCAATAATAATGTAGTAATAATAAATAGACACATGGTAGCCGTTTTCGTATAGAAGGCAGAGCATATATTACACAGTGGTTTCTACAAAGCCTAAATAACATGTCCGACACTCCAAGCACCATAAATCTAGGGACATAATCAAGCCAGGATCGCCCAGTTTGCACAACACTGCAATAAAGACAAGGAACTCAGCCAGAAATGTGCCAGGACAATATCAAGCATAGATCTATGTGAAATAACATAGGATGAAATGCAGAAGTAAATAAAACGTGAGGCAGAGAAAGAAAACACAGGACAGAAGGTGTGAAAGAAGTCTGGAGACCTCCAAAAACTTTGCAAAACAGCATCTTTTTTTTTTTTCCTGGATGGCTGGATACAAGTCCCAAGGCCCCTTCCTTTTCCAGGTGAGAGGGTTCATACCTTTCCAGAGCCAAAGACTGCCTCCTGAGCGTACTTTACTAGGCACTCCTTGCAAAACAAGTGTCCGTCCGCACACTGCGTCAGCTCCTCGAATGCAAATTGCCCATAGCAACAGCGGCACTCGATCATTTGGCCATCCTGCAAATCAGTTCCTAAAGGTTAGTCCATAACACCGACTTGCACATGGAAGCATGCACCCACAAGATGCTCCTCACATGTCTAGAGGCTGCAGATGAGCAAGGCACCCATGTCAAGGCCTATAATCTGTGTTTTGATGACTTGGAAGGGGATGCAGGAAGGGACACGCATAATCTGCTCCGGCCAGGAGTTGGCTCATTCACTGAAAGACCCTCCTAATGGGCAGGCAGAAAGCCAGGAAGAGATAATGCCACGTAGAGGGGCTTCCCTCAGTTCCCAGACCAAGCCTGGTAGAAACCCTGTTAGCCTTGACAAACGCAAAGCATGCATATTAAAATAAATGACAAGAAACCCATTTAAACAAGGAAAGTGCATTAACTGGTACACAGTAAAGAAAAAGCAGCTTAGATATTCAGAGTCCTCTGGGATCTTGCTAATTTGGATGTTGATGATTCAGACTGCCCAAAAGAAGAATTCAGAGGTTACCAGCTCATAACGTCTGCCTCCGATTTCAATCTCTATTTTTTAGGGGAGGGGAAGGGAGACTGCCCTACACCACAACCCCTGAGAACAGAAGTTTATGTTAAGTACAGATTTTCCTTTCCCAAGCAGAGCAGTACTACTAAAAAGCAGTCATGTTAGAGATTTCCCCCCAGTTTTTTGCTTCTTCCAGGGTGTCAACATTTCCAGACGCTTTACATCACTAGTTCCCAGTACACATTTGCATGGAAAATGTTCCCTTTCGCTAAGCTACTTACTTTTTGATATTGTTCTTCGTTCATCTGCAGAGCAAGGAGGAAATCTGCATGCTGAGAAAGGAGACAAGACACATGCTCAGGGCAATTAACATACTCCAGTCTTTCCTCATGCAACTTCCAGTCTTCTGTGACTACGGACTGTCACAGCCTTACCCAACCTGGTGCTCCCCAGATGTTAGCCATGCTGGTGGGAATTACGGGAGCTGCAGCCGAGACGGAGTGAGGCACTCTCAAAGGACGCAGCTATGCTCACTTTGTTCTTTCAATGGAATACCTGCTGGAGCTTCTCTTTGTACTGAGAAGCCTCCGTAAGTTTTCACAGGCTGTTCAGAATAAGTTTTCCCAATGTGATGGGGACCTAGATAGGGAGGCTGCTACGAGGCAGACTCAATTCCCTTACAGACCCAGCATGGGTGTGATGCATGTCTTTTAAAAGAATGTTGCCCATGTTCAAAATGTACGTGCCAATGTAAATTCCCTACGTGGGCTTGCTAGATCCAGGGTGAGGATGAAGATATTATGGGATATTAGTGCCTGGCTGGGACACCACAATTCGGGGCACCTCAGCACCGCAAGAGCCCCCAAAGGTGTAGAGGAGACTTGCTGCTCACCTCCGCCATCTCTTTAATCTTCTGTTCATAGAACTCCCGTTCCAGCCGCACTGCCGGGAGGAGAGAGAGATGGTCGTAGATCCTGAAGTGCCTCCGTTTGTTCTCCAAGAAGAACATGCGCTTTTCGATTTTCATAGCACCTGACGTAAAAATGTGAAAAAACGGCAGACAGGTATTTACCTGCCCGCAGCAGGACAGCAAGACAAGAGCTCCCCCAAAATACCTCCTTTTGCAAATCAGTCTCCCATAACAATCCAATGCTAGGGATATCTGTTATTGCACCCCTTTAAAGCTCTAATTTATTTATTTATTAATTAAAACATTTCTATGCCGCCCCTTGCCAAAGCCTCGGGGCGGCTTACAACATAATAAAATACAATAAAATACAAAAATAACAATATAAAATTAAAATTAACAATAGAAAATAAATAAAAAATATAAAAGAAGTCGCCCTGGCCAGATAAATAAGCAAATAATTAAAGAATTAAAGAAAGCCATTTAGTTATATTTACAGACGAGGGAATTAGAAGGTAGAGCAAACCTTCAAAGACAACCACAAAGAGAACCTTCCAAAACAAGTCACAGGTGTGAGTGCTCGGAGCTGAGGAGGATTCTGCTGTCTGTATTAGGTGCAGCAAAGACACATTCCTGAGGTCACTGGCCAATTCGAGTTTCAGAGCTTGCCACCAACATTTTGCCCTGCAGGGCCACAAAGAGTCAGTACTCGAGCAGGTGCTACTTACCTTGTTCAAACTTGAAGTCTATGTAGGAATACTGGTTCATTTCTTTCCTCCTTTTTCGCTTCCCACTGGTTTCTGGAGACAGTTCCTGCCATTTTTTGATGGCATCAGAAAAGGCCTAAAGGAAAAAGGACAGGAGGCACCTGAGCAAGCATGGATTCATGAATACAGGCAGAGATTTCTGCAGCCATCAGCAAGAGCCAGTGTGGTGTAGTGGTTAAGAGCACGGGACTGGGACTCAGAGGATCTGGGTTCGAGTCCCCGCTTGGCCATGGAGCCAACTGGGAGACTTTGGGCCAGTCACAGACTCTCAGCCCAACCTACCTCACAGGGTTGTTGTTGTGGGGATAAGATGGAGGAGGAGAATGATGCATGCTGCCTTGAGCCCTTTGCAGGAAAAAGGCAGGATATAAATTGAAAAACAAATAAAATAAAAAAGGGAGGTCAAGGTTTCACAGTCTTTCCTGCATCTCCCACCTCAAGATGGTACCAACTCCAGTTCCACAGGTGAACATATAAAATCTTATGTACACAGTTGTCTGCACACAGAAAGCCAGCTGAGCTTGAGAAGCCGGGCACAAGGCAGCTCTAATTCAGCACTGGCACTAGAATGAGACTAGAACAGACCCAATTGGATCAATTTTCTCCTACCACCTTCTCTTGACACTTGGTATTTTTAATCATTAAGCTACCAGACATCCAGATTTTATTCCCCATGCTGTTCCTCAATATCATTGTTTATTTTACTGCCTTGTTTTCATATTGAAAGCAGCCTTGGATGTTTTACAGCAAGACCAGGGAGTCGGGTTTTAGAAAATGGGGAATAAATAGGGAATAAATTAACTGCCGAGACAGCGTTGACTGTTTGGTTGCCCCTTTCTGCTTCGGAAGGGTTGGCACAGGATGCACTTTCAGCCTGTGTGCTGCCCCCACCACCTGTGGGATTTGCTGCCCAAGACAGGCTGCAAAGCTCCCTTCCAAGAATGAGGAAGCTCAGTGGGGGCAACTGAGGAGGAGGAGGAGGAGGAGGGCGAGAGAAAGGGGGAGCCGAGAAGGAGAGACCTTTCGTGTGATTGCATAGTGTCCCTTGAGTTCGTGCAGCGCCCACTTGATGTCCTGGCTGCTCAGCATCTTGAAGTCCGCCATGAGGAGGTCGGCTGCTTGGATGAAGCAACGCTGGTCAAGCGGATCAAGCCGAGAGAAGTCAAAGTAGTCCACTTTAGGCACCTGGAGGAGGAGGAGAGGAGAGCGTTAGTGCACACTGGGCTGCTCCAGAACTTGGCTGCTCCAGAACTTGGCTGCTCCAGAACTTGGCATTCGTTGAAGCTTTATCCCCAAACCACACGGCAATGCAGATCAGGCTGAAAGACCAGATCAGGCCAGTTCACATGATCATCATGGGCTAAACAAGCCCCAGTGGCTCCTGGACGCCACAGTCTATGTCAGCCAGGCATGCTTTGCATAAGTACTTGCCCAGGCACAGCTTGTCACATCTAGGCAGCAGGGGGAAAGAGTCCACCGTTTATTCGAAAGCCTGCGATGACTGTTCGAGCCTGGCCAGAGACTGGCTAGGATTGCCATCAGTTCTTATGGCCAGCCAGCAAGATACTCCTAGATGCTTAAGGCGATAGGCACAGTGCCAAATCTTGAAATGCTAAGTAATACTTATATCCAGTATGGCCAACTTAGAGGAAAAGAACCTCTCACTCTTGCTGCCAGAACCCTTCCTGAAATAGGACTCATGAAGACAAGCTCCTGCAGATCCAGTGCCGAAACATGATTCCAGGATGAAGGTTCAGCCCTGGAACAAGTGAAGGGTACTCCTGAGCTTGCACAAAGGGCATCACTGCTCAACACCATATGCAGAGTTCAGCCTTTGAGACCCCACTTTGCATTTCAAGAGATTTCCTGGGAGCCCAGTTTTATAGGGAGAGAGAATGAAGATGCACCTTGCATGACTATCACTTTGTGATCACAGCAATCCTAAGACTGTTTTCATACCTGAGAGTGTCGAGCCAGTTGTCCCCTCCACCCTCCTCCACCTGAGCTCCTAATTTTTGTGTGTGTGCACATCTAGACACTTGTGGTGGTTGTTGTTTGGCCTAAGCAAATTTAATCAACAGGGATGTGCCACAAGAAGAAGCCACCATATTTATCACAATATGCCACCATTTTCACATATCATCCAACAAGCAGACATGGTTCTGTGGCATGAAAGGCAGGAGGAGTGCGCAACCAGGAGTGTGCGTGTGTGTCCCAAGCCACAATGAGCACTTCCACTATCCAGTGTTTTTGACGGCTCTTGCACGGATGTGAAATGGAAATGAACTGCAGTGCTTTAAGAGAGAGGCCTTCACCATCATCCCTCTCCGGGGATTTAAATCAATATGATATTGTTTTACGGAAAGCCTTGCAAACTTCAGGAGTAAACCTAGTAGAGGCAGTGCACACACACACACACACACACACACACACACACACACACACAAATGAAACTGGAAGAGCAGCCTCCTTTCATATTTTCAAGTGTGCATCTCTTTCTAAAGCAAGGGCAGGAGCAGCCTTTTTCGGCTGAAGGGCTAGATTGTTTCCCACGATGATTCCCCGGGGACACACAAACAAACCCATGCTCTCGCTTTCTCTCTGCCATTCTTCTCCTCCTCACCATGACTAAGCACCAGGAGCAAGAACATGAGCCTCTTAAAGCAAGGCCTGCCTGGATCAATAGTATTGAATCTGCGGAAGGAAACGGCTTTCTCACTTGCCTTTGTCTCATCTTGGCTGGACAGCAGGCTGCTATTTGGATTTAAAACCACTCTTCCTTCTTTCTTTGGATAGTCTGGATTTTCCAGAAGAAAATTACAAAGTCTACAAGGCAAAGGAAGAGAGTTACTTGGAAGAGGCCATCTCCCGCGCACCTGCTGGCCGCCCGTCCCCAAATTAACCATGCATCCTTGGTGAGAAGGCATGGCTGTGCTGCTCAGGAGAGCAGCTGAGGAAAGAGAGAGGACTGGGCGCAGCGAGGGAAGGACCGTGGGCAAGGGATCCGGTGGCATCAGGAGGAAAGGAAAGGCATTTAGAGGGGTGAATGAACAGCAGGAGTTGCAAGTAGCAGGATGAGCATCTTGACACTGGCAAGGCGTGATGTGGGGATCCTGCTTATGCTGGCGTAGGTAAGTCATATCGATTTGCATATGAATCAAGCACTCGTTCTGAAGGGGGGCACAGGTTTTAGATTCTGCATACACACACGGCAGGCAGGCACTATCACAGCCAGCATTCCTTCTTCTATGAATATAAATCATATGTGTTCATAATCACAAGAATTATGAAGAATATGAATACAGTTATGAATTATGTAAGTACGTTAATATACTAAATATAAAATAAGGAAATATCTGCGAGCCACCTCTTGCACCCCTTGCACAATGCCTTTCTTTCACATAACGCTGGGAAACCCAGCTCTTATCTCCAAAGAACAGAGGTAAGAAGCCATTAAAGGCATTTCAGCTTTGAAGAGCCTGCTCTTTAAATACCTCCAAACATAAATGTATTCAAAAAGCAAGGTATTTAAACTGGTTCTGTAATGAGGCAACAGAAAAACAGGAGGCTTATGTTTTAAAAGTCTATTTCTTTGCCTTATTTCAGAGTAGACACAGAAATGAGTTGTGCTTAGCATGCGGGGGGGGGGGGGGTCCAAGTTGGCATAAATGACATCTGGCCATGCCCAGAGCTGCAATGCAGCCCCCAAGCCCTTCACAGTGTGGAATCCAGTCCCCAGAGCTGAAGAAGGTTCCCTGCCCCTGCTCTAGAAATGCTAATAAAGAAGCAAGCGAAGATGGGGACCGACAGAGGGAGAACCCCACTCTTGCTCCACTTAAGGAAAGTTGCATTTGCAAGCCACTCGTGATACACCGCCACCTCATGGTGGTCCTCAAGGCAAAATTTTAAAGCCATGTAAAACACAAGAGAGGTAGTGTGGTGTAGTGGTTAAGAGCGTGGGACTGGAACTCAGATGACCTGGGTTCTAGTCCCTGCTCGGCCATGGAGCCAGCTGGGTGACTTTGGGCCAGTCACAGACACTCAGCCCAACCTACCTCACAGGGTTGTTGTTGTGGGGATGAGATGGAGGAGGAGAATGATGTTAGCTGCCTTGAGCCCTTTGCAGGAAAAAGGCAGGATATAAATTGAAAAATAAATAAGTAAGTAAAAGAGCAGCATGAAACATTTCAGGCTACAGCGGTAATAATAGTTAACTATTAGTTCAGGAGTACATTTTTAGGTTTATGAGGGTGCCATACAGCCTTCCATACTTACATGTTTAAGTCGCAGCAGTTTTTGCTTTGTATTAGTTCTTCAATGTACTCTCTTGTTGCATCTGGGAACCTGGCCTCCTGGATTTGAAGGCAGGGGGAGACAAATACCATGGGCAATGAGAAGCAGTTCAAGAAAACCGTCCTACTGAATTGATAAGAGCATAGCTGGAGAGGCATGCTTCGAGCAAACAAGGCAACAGTTATAGAGTAAATCTCCCTGTTGTATTATCTGCACATCAGTCACACATCCCCAATTGCTGGAACACCCTAAGAAAGCAGGAATAGGGTGTCAATCATCTGGATTCGTATGGAACAAAAATCTGCTTCTGTAAGTACTTGTACAATGCCCTTTATCTGTGAATTCCAGGGCAGCGTACAATGGACAGCATTAATCAAGCAGAATCCAAATACACTAAAAGTACACCCTTCATAAAACTTACACACTAAATAGCAGAAAAACAGAACTAGCCCAGAGCACTGTGGGTCAAACCCAGGGCAAGATGCATTACAATAAACATTGTATGCATTGCCAGAAGGGATTTCTTTTACTGGTTTGACAGTCCACACATTCGTGTTCTGGGGTCTTGTCTTGTCTTCTCTTTTCTTTTCTTTTAAGGGACCATGGACTTTTGCTAAGTTTCCCTACTTGGAGGCAACTCTTACTTGTCACACGTTTCATTTCCCATAAAGAAAATTGACTGAGAATAAGTCCGTACAAAAACTTATAAGGCCATGTGAAAGAGGATTCCAGCTGAAAGCAAGCATACAATCTTATTGTTTCTTAACTTAAATTCCTCCTATCCTACCTTTCCAAGCATCCAGGTCTCCTACATGGCGTAGTATCTATTTATTTATGTAAAATATTGCATTCTGCAGCCTAGAATGGTTTAACCTTCCCAAAAGCTTGCAATCCAAAAAAGGACAAAACAAAAACAAATGAACAAAAGTCACAACACAGAAAGGAACAGGGGCGGGAAAGGAAGATGGGGGAAAAACACTACAGAGACTTTTAGCTTTCAGGCCATTAAAAAAACAGAAGCATCAATGAATCCACCCTCTTGCTGACATTTCCGCCAAGCTCATTTCCCCAGCGATAGCCTCACACGTGCCCATGGCCAGAGCCTCTGCAGAAGCTTTAAGTGGCACAAAGAGATGGCAACAGTACCCAGTTCAGTTATTTCGGCTGTTGCTGCCGTGCCTTCAGGCTGCGACAGGCCTGAAGCCGATGGCACCAGCTGCCACTTGTAAAAGATGACGCCAGGTACGAAAATTGGTAATGGCTGACAAGCCGCTGGCCTGCGAGGATCGTCCTTTCCTTTCCTAGCAATGCACAGGCACAGGGATGGTACACATACCAAAGGGAGCGCGGAGAGCAAGAGAAAGTGGAGAATACACAGTGTACAACCCAGCACCCAGGAAACCTCAGCTTTCATTTCACCACACATGCTCCTAGACCTCAATTCAGGCCTGGGAAGGTATGCTTGAAGGTATCAGGAAATGCCTGCCCGAAATATCAGGTACCAGAAAGAGGGCTGAATTTCCAACAGCAGGGAGCAGGGCATCCTTCCCCCAGAATCAGTTAAGCAAAGCAAGGCAAATTTGTACAGGGTGTAACTTTCCATGGTTCTTGGTACGCAAGATGAACCGCCCAAGTAAGAAGTGCCTTTCGGAAGGAGCACACACCCGATTCAAGGGCGCTACCAAAATCTGCACAGCCAAGAGCTGAACCCAACAGGTTGCCCTGTGCAAATAGAGAGCAAAAGCAAGGCAGCACTGCTCAATCTTCTGACACAAGCTGGAATCTTGCAACCAACACAAAAGGACCTTTCAGCAGTACCTTGAAAGGAGTCCCTGAAAGCAGGAACTTCAAAAACCATTGTATTAAAGCCTCGTTTATACAGGAAATGGGCCGTGAAGAACATTCTTATGTTCGCCTGCTTCATGCAGGTGCCCAGGCACTTTACCTGTGCTCATTGTGGGCATTAGCCTACCTGCACGCTTGCTTGGCGTGCCAGTCACACATCCACCCAGGCCGTGCCAGGGGCTGCCCGCCACTGGAGGGGCACTGCAAGGAGAGCTCGGGAGGAGCTTTCCCTGGGGTCTGTGCTCTGACTAAAACCAGGCCATGGTGTTCACAAAGATGCCAACGGATACAGTGAGCCTCCTTTCAGCCCCGCTTCTCTTGCAACAGCTCTGCTACCTCGCCCATCGTGCCCTAGGGGCTGCCGACTCACCGTCTCTCTGATGAGCAAAGCTATGAGTTCTTTGTCCAGTTCAGCAGCACCTTGCTTGGGAATCTCGCTGGAGCCAGAATTCAGCAAGCCTTGGACTGGAAAAGCTGGGCCTGCCTGTTCATTTATTGCTACCTGCTGGCTTCCCTTTTCCTCTGGCGGATAGGCAGGCTGAGGGGAAGCGGGGCCTGGAATCCCATCTTGCTGAGGTTCGGGCCTGGGAAAGGCGGGCCCCGGAATCTCCTCTCGGTACATCCTTGGTAGTGGCCCCAGTTTTATTTCCGGCTGTGCTTGCTGAGGAGAAAGGAGGTCGACCACAGTCCGGGCCTCCTTCTCCAAAGCCTGGAAATAAGAACGATCCGCCTGTGTGTTCTCTTGCACGCAATGGATGGTCCCTCCGAGCGACGGCACTAGCCTTGGTTGCAGGTCGGGCCCTTCCTGGTCAGCTACGAAGACCACCTCCTCCAAGTTAATGACCTCCTTGTCTTTGCTGGGCCTGGCTTCTCTCGTCCGAGCCACACTGGGCCCAGGCTTTGGAAGAGTCCCAGCAGCCTCCCTTGGCCTGACAGGTTCTGGCGATTCCGGCAGCTCCAAGACTTCATTCTCTCGCTCATGCCTGCCCAGAGCCACGCCACTTCCCTTCACGCAGTTCCGGCGACCGCCGTGCAGCCTGGGAGAAGGAGGGGCCCGCGTCTTCTGCCCATCAGGGGCCCCCGTGGTCCCCTCGCCCTTGGACCCACCTTCTCCCGACTTGCTCACGCTTTGCCAATGAGCAGCTGGCCTGATCACATTGGGGCGTAAAAGTTTCTTCGTTGCTGTCTTTAAAAAAAAAAAGGAAATATGAGTTGGCATCTAAGGCCTCATTCAGACGTAACAACAATTTGTTGGTTGTTTAGCTCATAAATTGGTAGGGCTGCACTGAACAAACCATGGGTTAAAACTCTGAATTGGTTTTCCACCAATGATCCAGTGTTCCAGGTGTGAATGTTGCATCAAATGGTGAAAATGGAATTGGCATGTGGACAGGAGACAGTACGTTCATTTTCTGCTGCACACCTCCAACTATCTATGGATTATTAAACCAAGAATCCAGGTCTTAACTATTGGATTAGCCATTCTTCTGATGGATGTTTCAGTTCTATATTTATTTATTTAAAACACATATGCACACTTTCCCTTTATGCCTAACAACATGCCTGCAAGCTTAAAATGCATATCACAAATGGTAAACTGACACCTGGCTCAAATTCCAGTGTATAATCCTTTGCTCTTGGGCAATAAAGAGTTAATGGCCTGATTCACACGTAACACTAAGCTATGGTGTGGTTTGTTTCATTCTGGACTGTTGCTCTTTCTGAACCATTCCTGCAAACAAAGTATACATTAAACAAGGAAAACAAGCCATGTTTTGCTTACTCATCTGAGACAATTCATGGTTTAAGCCACAAGCCAGGGTTATCATAAACCATGGCTTACTGTCATGCTATTATGTCAGCCTAACCTACCCCACATGATAAAATGACTGGAGAGCAGCACACTGTTCTGAATTCTTTGGAGGAAGATTGGGATTCTTTTAAAAAGCAGCAAATGCTTAATTTAATGGAACCAAAACAAAAATCCTACACCCTCTTCAAAATGAGTTAGGATACATGATTTTTGGAGTGTTAAAGTATATTACAATAAACTCCCAGTTGTATTTTACCTCCCACTATTTTTAATGATTATATTCATCACTGACTCAACACACACATCAGCCATATAAAAAATGAATCATGTGTTTGTGTGTGTGTGGAGAACCTTGGCTACTGGGCGGCATAAAAATACATGAATTAAATAATATTAACTTCAGAATCAATCACAAATACAGTGCTACACAGACATTACTGTTACAGCTTCAACCTTATGATCTAAAGGCTTACTGCTGTCATGTGCTGAAATATGTCAGACAGAAAAATTACTAAGCAACTAAAACTGGTATGGTTCATGTGCATGTACAGTATTGGGAAATTTGCAATGATTGGGCAACTAATCTCTTACTTTCAGTAGTCAAGTAGTACCCTGCTTGTTCTGAGTAGCCAGGAACATTTCAGGAGGGGCAAGCAGCAGTTTGAATTCTAACGATGTTCAGGAGGACTTGTCATTTTTCTCAGGGGATTCCAAATAGTCCTGGCCTGCATCTGTTTTGAAGGCACAGGAAGCCGTTTGGCAGCTGCTGCTACTTAAAACCACAGTATTTCATTGTTCGGAAGATGCTGCACTGTGGAGCAGAGGCTCTTCTGCAGTATTTGAAAGATCCTGGGATGAACAGCCCAAAGCAAACTCCTAATTATTCCTTGCTTCACTTTAACACCTCTAAAGATTAATTAAGGTGGGATTTGGAAGCAGAGTGGAAATTACTTCAGCATGCAAAGTATGTAAAGGGGGCTGGATTTAGGCTGCTAATATTTCACTGAACAAGAGTAGTGTTTGGTCTGTGTATTATTATAATGTATATTATGGTATCAAGGTAAGCCATTTAAGTCAGTAGCAGAAAGCTGGATCAAAACTTTTTAAATTAAAACTTGTGACAGATTTTTAATGGGCAAATATAATCTGGTATGCAATTCATACAGTCTTGTTCTTCTATGTTTAATTCAACAGGGAACATATTTATTTTTGCATTTACATTTTAAAGACATCTTTGCCTTAATGAAATACACCCACCCCCCTGCAAAAAATACCATGGGTTGGATAACATATTAGAGTATGGGACTGGGACTCAGGAGATCTGGGTTCGAGTCCCCGCTCAGCCATGGAGCCAACTGGGTGACTTCAGGCCAGTCACAGACTCTTCACCTGGCCTACCTCACAGGGTTGCTGTTGTGAGGATAAGATTGAGAGGAAGAGGAGAATTATAAGTCCCTGGGAAAAAGGCAGGACATGATGTTATAGAAATAAAAATTAAGAACAAACTCTAAACAAGCTTTGCCGTAATTGGGGGATGAGCTATAAGGGTTACCTCCATCAAGATGACATCGTCATCATCCTCATCTTCCCACTGCCGGTGAACAGGTATGTCCAGCATCACAGGCAATTCTTCATCCGAGGAATCTGATATGGTGATAAGCCCCTCGTCTCTGTGGTTAATCCTGTCTGAAGGAAGAAGGGCAAGCTTATCTACCAGAGGGAGGTTTGCGCAAGCTCATAAATATTTATCCTTCAGCTCTTACAACTAGCCTTACGCTTCCTCAGTTTGCACTGTAAAATATGTTTCCTGAGTTTGCATCGCAATGAGGTGGAAGAGGCTCTCAAGGGCACCTGCTCTTCCGTAGCTTGCTGCTAATGCCGCCTCAACATTTGTCAGAATAAAAATATGCAGCACACATGCAGATCTTCAATGCTGGGAGGGCGGCACCACCCCCCGGTGGCAGGAGGAGGTCAGCAGAGGACTGCTGCAGTTCCTTTTACCCTCCCACACAAGAGCTGACAAGCTGGACTGGCTTTCGGGGCGCATTCTGGTGGTACTCATCAAAGGGACACCGCACAGCAGTGGCAGAGCAAGGGAGCGGAGCTGCTTTCAGCCCAGCAGCCCCTGCCGCTTGCGGGACGCTCCTGGGGCTGCACTGCCGTGTTGGGAGGGGGAGAGGAGGCCAAAGGAGTAGAGGCCAAACCCCAACAGCAGCGTATCTTAACAGAAGAAGCGCACAAGCCCGGGAAACCGTGTCAGGCCAGAGGAAGTGGGCATGGCCATCTGAGAAACCCCGGAAAACCAGGCCCAGACCTTGGATCTGAACTTCCCCACCCAAGCTGGGGAGCACCAGGTCCAAATCTCTGCTTTGGCTCAAAGCCTGCAAGACGACCCTGTGCCAGCAGCTGCTTCTCAGCCCAGCCTCCCCCTTTCTGGCACCGCCCAGATGCTTGGATTTCAACATGGTTGTCAGGAATACTGAGGGAGGTCCATGTGAAGGGAGAGCAGATGAGAATCATGACCACCACCCTGGGCACTGTGGAAGAAAGGTGGGGAAAATATCTGAGACTGCCTTTGTTTGGATTTCCAGGACAACTTCCAGAGAGCTCAGACTGGGCAGAATGTACTGGACAGCAGCCCTACAACTCAGAATTTTAAGGGAACAGGGAAGGACTGCACAATTTTAAGTCTCATCACCTGCATCACAATCTTGACGTGGAATTATGATGATTTTTTGACTGCCTGATACTGAGTGTATTCTGTTCCTCCCTAACACTTTGCTGTTTAGCAGTAGGTTGCAGTGCAGGGTCATTAGAACCAAATTCAGGAAGCGAATGAAATGCTACTTTTACACGACTGATGTTCGCAATATAATGGAATAGCTTTTCAGATAAAAAGCAATTCACTCAAAAACAAAAAACAGTTTAAGAACGTTGTAGTAAAATAAGACTTTTTAATTCCCCCCCCCCCCATGTCTTTATGTTTGGTCTTGACTATCTAAGCTGGAGAAATATCCTATGAAACAGCATAGCTTACACACTGCATGCTGAACACTGGCCCAAATGAAGGCATTGTTCTCACTGATGCTGCACACGTCGTACTTCTCATTTCGTTATCTTCTGCTGCATTGTAGCTACATGCATACACCCAAAGTTTAGAGCAGCAGAAATACTTAATTAAAGGTAGCTGGGACTCACATCTACCAAGAATGGCATATACTGCGCAAGATGTACAACGGGGTAGGCACAAAGGAGATCGCAAGAAGATTTGCACTCGAATTCCCAGCGCTCCTGACCACTCGTGATGGTGGCAGAGGCTCCTGGGAGCTGAAAGCCAAAACAACTCAAGAGCTACCTTTGGCATACGATATCATTCAACAGGTTTTCCCAACCCCAAGTGGAAAAAAAGGAAAGGACTGGAAAACAAGCTACTTACCTTTCCCTCGGTGGCTCCGGAAGCTGTTCAAACCAATTACTTCTTCTTGTGCTCCGACTTCTTCCATGTTAGACAGCTATGCATACAAGCACCAGTATGCAAGCATGGCACTCGCTCTTTCAAGAGCACCTAGAAAGGGCAAGAGACCTGTCTGATTACGCACCTGGTTTTTTCACATGGCACTGACTCCTGCAGAGAGCGCTTTGAAGAAGTCTTGTTTTTATTACCTGACTAAGGTTGGCAGCCAAGTGAGAATTCATGCCTATTCTTTGCAGCTCTGCTTTTAAATTGAAAAGTTCTGCTCAGTAAAACCCAGAAAATCCTTGCCCAAATACACAGCACTTCCATCTGCAATTGTTAATTCATCCACAAGCAGAGCTTTTGTGCCTGCCTGAAGATTTAGCAGGCAAGCACAGAATCTCGCCTCCTAGGTGGAATCTGCTGGCCTTCAGCTCTCGAATCTTGTGTCTATTTAACTGGGCATAAACTGGACTGTTTTCCCTGTAAACATTCACAGGACGAACCTACCTGCAAACATTTACAGGATTAGGCTCCCGGGATCACAGCTTTCACAATACATTGCAAACAAAATTTTAACCTTCATGCTGTGCAATAAACAGCAAGCCCTGTTTATAACCACAAGTGCTTGGATATTGAAACTTCTCTGCTCTGCAAGCCTTGGAGAGCCCCAACCTCTTCTGCGTTTCCCTATCCTTCTATCATAGCCCCTCTTCACCCATCACCTTCTCAGTAATCACTGGTGTTTCTGGAAGACTGGCTCCTGGAGCTTACCCATCAAAAAACACAGTACAATTATTCATGCTTTTCCTCCTCGGTGGGTTTTGTTTTGCTTTTGTTTTTGCTGCAAGAAAAGCCAGGAGCAGGAGCGGGAAAACACAGGAGGGTTACAGGAAGCAGACTTCTACGTAAGATTCTGTAAATGAGCTCAGTAAAAGCCACGGACAGAGATGCAGTGTTTCTAGACATCAGTGTTCTTTGCCAAGATATTCCATTATCTTGGCAGCCCTTAATCATGAGGTCTGCCACATCAGCAGCCTTCCCTTAGTGCTGCATCCCCTATATATTGGGGCTGTCACCAGATTAAAGGTGTTTTAGATGTAATTGCAATTAGCCAAATCAGCATAAGCTTGCATGTAACTAAAATTGTTCTGAAGGGGGTGGAAAAATCTTTTTATAGACACAGGCACGCAAACCTCATAAGAGGAACCCCCTTGGAAGTGGCGTTCCTCACCTGAGTAAAGAAAGAACGCACCATCTAGGCTAGAACCAGGTTTTTCTTTTCTGGTACATAATAAAGCATATTTTTTTTTAGCAAAGCTGCTGATCAGTTTGAATACCTTTTCAACAGGCTGCTTAGTGAATCAGACAAATTAGCTAAACAGTGCAGCCCCCTTGAGCTAATGTGATTTTGTTGTCTGGAGCAAGGAACTGTGCCGTCTTCTCACGCTGGACACAACTCTGCAAACGCGTAGGCATCAGCAGTAGCTCACCAGCTGTTTACAGAAAAGACAAGCCGTTTAAATGGAATGAAGTCTATTGTTGAAGCAAGCTCTTTAGCTGACAATGGAAGGAACACTTGCTAACTGTACTGAAACTTCTGCGGAATCCCAGCTATAAAAAGCCCCATGCTTACAAGACAAGAGCGAGAAGAACTGTAAAACCTGACTAGGCTAATTAATTACACTCCTTGGGAACTGAAAGTTCTCAGACCTGCAGGGCCAGAAACCTGCAGAGGACAATATTTAAGAGAGTAGTAAGAACGTAATTTAAATCTCTGGGTGCATGTGCAGCCACGTTTCCAGAAACTAAAGAACCAAATAAAACTGTTGGTCAAAAGGCAGACTTGTAATGTGGCACAGAATATATGGAGAGCTGGTGTCTGTTGCTTCAGAAACCACCAACATTGTTTTGGAACAGAGTTGGGGGGAGTGTTCATAAGCAGCTTATTTGGCCCTCTAAGACCCTTTAAGTGATGACAGTTCAGAGTTTTGTACGTACAATCACTCAGGAAAGAAGGGCATGCAATCTCAAAGGTCAACCAGGGTCAGGAAGGGGGAGAAAGAAGTAAGATGGCCCTTGAAGTCAGAGATGGGCAGAGTGCAAATCCCCAGAAGTTTGGGGCATCAATTTTCCAGAGCCTTTTCTGTGGTGGCACCACAATTCTGGAACAGCATCAGAGGCTTACAAACAGATTCAATAAACAGTCATAATCAGCTCCCAGCATTCCTGACCAGTAGCCATACTGGCAGGAGCTTCTGAGATTTGGATTCCCAAATGCTGCGAGATCTGCCTTCTGCCTAGCCCCGCTCCAATTATCCTGGTACCAAGCCTTACCTTAGGCCAAGAAAAGGATTGCATTACCAAGTAAAACCCTATTTGTTTGCTTTAAGGCGCCTGCAAAAGTTAGGAGAGAATGCTAAGAAAGGAAAGTGAATACACCCACACCAGTCTGCCTCAGAAAGATGCAGCTTTTACCTCCAACAGCTTGGTAGTCCCCCAGCGTTCCTAGACAGGCACAAGAGCGCGACAAGTTACAGATTGCTGCGCCAGGTGCTGCATCACTGACCTCAGTGCTTTCAGTTTCTTTGCAGATGGCTATTCTGAACATAAATCCCCACAGCTGCCTGCTAGAAAGAACACCGTTCAGGACCGGCCCCGGCAACAAACTTCTTCTGTTAACAGGGTCACAGCCTCCCAGTAATTGAAGCAGCAGTAACACACCATTTAATAAGAGAATTCCTTCCTTGTTGTTCTGAGCGGTTCTTCCCACCAGCCCCAAGTTAAACCCTCTGCTTATGATTAGCGCGTCCATAAGCAGATTCATATCTTCAAGCCGCCGGGGCGGGGAGGGGGTGTCCCATCTAGGTCTAAGTTCAAAGCAAATCTAATTCCAGCATGCTGTGACCAGCCCGAAGAAAAGCGGAAACATACACTAAGAAGTTTCAGAAGAAACCCAGTTCATTTATAGGTGCCGCAAAATCAAGGGGTTAATAGTTGACTTGAATTGGACCGCTCCATGCTCCAGGGAGGAGTTTACAAATTTCCGTGCTGCTCCGTGAGGGGCAGAGGGAATGACCCGAAAGTGCAAACACAGCAATGGGAAGGCTAGGGAGAACAATTCCGCCCTCGTGCAAGGGATTGCTTTTGGCAGCGGAACATTCAGACATGCCAATCCATCACCTGCAGCAGTAACACAGGCCATAAAAACCTTTACCAACCTTTTCCTTTTTTTAAGGCTTCTGTCCTGCTGATTTGACCATGAAGTTTACAATATTTGAAATTTTCAGCAGGCTGTACAGATTGAGGAGAGAGGGGAAGTGGGGTCATTCCAGCAGCCCTGCCGAAAGACAGTTAAAGTTTTTCTTCTTCCCTTCCCCTTCCTCTTTCCTTGTGTGTTGTGCCTGTTTACACTGTACACCTGCAGGCAAGACTTCAGGAGACTTTGTGGTTTAAGGCCACAGCTCTGTGCATGTTATACAGAAAAACCTCTGACAACTGACAACAGCCCCAGACAGAATGGCTAACTGGGAGTAGTAAGAACCCCTGCCCCACGGCCCATTTAAGCATGCACAGGATTGCATCCCGAATGAGTAAAATTCCATGTTAAATTCTTCAATGCCAATCCAAGAAATATGGATCTCAAACAATCCACCTTTTGCCACTTATCTTTTTCTTAATTGATTGAAAGAAAACCAACCCGACTACCCTCCAAGATGCTAAGTACTATTGCCAAACATAGTTGCACCTCCTCAAAGGACCGGGACCTATAGAACTACCCCTTGGAAGCTTCCTGAAGGCCAACCAATTGTCCTTAAGTCCTGCCGGATCCACATACCATATATACCTAAAATAAACATGCTAGGCAGGAAGCATTGTTTAAAAAAAAAGATGAGCCAGTAACAATTGCAGACTTATTTGAAAAACTGGTTATGTGAATTGGCACAGCTTAAAGGTAAAGCACAAAGAAAAGGCTCACTCCCAAGCAATGCCAGTTAAGAAGATCCTGAAGAGGTGGGAAAGACCCTAAAGCAGAGCTTGTGTCAACATGCAGCAAATTCAAGGTGCTGCTGGGGCTCAGGATGCCCAGCCGGGTCCAGGGCTGATTCCTGCAGGAAGGTCCCAATTTTCTAGAGCATCAACCAGTGCTGCCAAGACATTTGGAAGCAGCCATTTTGATTTTCCACAACGTCTGTGACATAGCTTTGCTGCAGGGCATTGCAGGAAATTGACCTGCACTGATCACCTTATGGATCATCTATCGAGGAAGCCAAAATATGGAAGCACTAACACGGAGAGACCTTCAAACCTGCAACCAGCCCTGTCCCGAAGAGCTACTACCACGAATGAAGCCAATACTGGCCTAGATGCACCCATGATCTGACCCAACTGACATGCGTCCATGTTCCAACTTGATATGGTCCAACCATAGGCCTGGTTTCAGCTAAAGCTCCTGTAAGTTCCCCTTCTCCTGGTATTTCTATTCCATGCCAAAGCTTCCAGATAGACATGATATGCTTGGAAATATTAAAATACCTACAGAAACACCAACTTATGCTTCTTAAATTCCAAGAACAATCTACTCCACTGCTCTCCTTTGGCTGAACCATGCCAAATGGAAGCCACTCTCCGCCTTGCACAGCCATAAGGTGCCAGAGATACAAAGGGCGAAGAGAACCTATTGCAAGAGTTAGAAAAATTATGAGGGCAGGGGAGAAGTAATGGCCAGTTCTGAACAAACAGCAGGCACACATGCCCAAATGAGGGCTTAAAAACCTGATGATGGCACACAGGAATCTAACCCAAGAATCCAGAAGCACATTTAATTAAGCCTCTGGCTTTTCTAACTGTTTTGTGCAGCCAAACAGATTCCTGGAAATTTTAAAGAAAAGAAACCCCTTCCAGTGTAAGGCACACCAAAAAGAAACTTGTACCAGCAACTCTGACAGCTGAGGCTATCCAGTTTGCACTGTGTTAGCTCTGAAAGATCTCCTCTCTCCTGCAACAAACCCTAAGCAGCATCTTACACACACCAAATCACCCCAGAAGGGAAGGGGTTCTTATGAGCCATCAAACCTCCGCACCTCTAATGGCACAAAAAGGTCTCTAGGATGGAGTTAGTCTTCTGGTTGTCTGTGCAACTTACTCTTTTGAGTAACTTGAAATACCCCCTCTTATTTCTAGCAAGGCTGGTGCCAAACAGTTGGATCAGGAAATGCTAACATGTTTAATGAAATGTGATCAACCTTTTGGTGAAACAGGGAGGGAGGGAGGAAGAGACAGGAAGAAAGGACGGAGGGAGGGAGGGAGGGAACCAGAGGATTCACATGTATTTAATATAACTTATATTGGCATAATTCCGACAGCAAGCAGTCTCCCATAATTTTAAGCTGAGAGAGAAAGGCTTGCCAAAACCCTCCTAGCAAGTTCGTAACAGAGGAGATTCGAACTGAAGAGCCTCGCAGTTCACAGCTCAGCTTCTCAGCCACTGCGCTGCACCAACTGCGAAGTATCTCCGACAAGGATGCGCACAACATGCAACGAGGCCCACACAAGCCAGAGGGGAGCTCAGCAGGACTACCACAAGCCATCTGGTAAAGTGTCGGGGTGCTCGGAAGGTCTCCTTTACCCTTTAATTATGGCACATTATTCTCTCCACAGTCCATTTATGCCGCTCTCTTCTCGGGAAG